ATTGAATTTTCTATCATTGCAATGAATCTCATTGGAATTTTGATAGGGATAGAATGGAACACTATAGATTTTGATAGTATAGTCATTTTCATAATATTGATAAAACCAGTCCATGGGCATGGTTGTTATTTTCAACTTCAGATGTATTATTTGATTCCTCTCTTCAGGAATTTTAGTTTTCATTGAAAAGGTCTTCAGTTTCCTTCATTAAGTCTATCCCTAGGTATTTTATTTTACTGAAGCTTTTGTAAATGGAGGTGTTTCCCTGATTTCCATCTCAGTCTATTCATTGTTTTGTTACAGAAAGGCTACTGATTTCTGTATATGAATTTTGTATCCTGCTACCTTGCCAAAAGAGATTATAATGTCTAAGAATTTCTTGGTAGAGTTTCTAGGGTCTTTTAAGTATACCATCATATCATCTGCAAATAAGGAGATCTGGACTGCTTCTTTCCACATTTCTGTCACTTTTATGTCTTATTTTTGTGTTAATGCTCCATCTAGGAATGCCAAAATCATATTGAATAAGATCAAGGAAAGTGGAATGGTTTCAGTTGTTCTCCATCTAGTATGATGTTGGCTATAGGTTTGTCATATATAGCCTTTAATATGATGAGGAACATTCCTTCTAAATCAAGTCTGTTTAGAGCTCTGTGATCAATGGGTGCCGAATTTTCTCAAAGTCCTTTTCCGAATCTATTGGGATGATCATGCAATTTTCCCCATTTTCTGTTTACCTGTGGTTTAATATTCTCTGTTGTTTCCTTTGTTTTTGAGATCTACTTTTATTCTTTTGTAATCTGATATTATATAGGGTTTTATTTCAATTTTCTTAAGTTTATAAATGCTTGCTTTGTGCCCTAAAATATGATCTGTTTTGGGGAAACTTCCATGGCTTGTGGAAAATGTGTCTTGCTTGGGGGTTACATGAAACACTGTAGATGTCTTTTGTCATTTGGTCTGTAAGTTCTGAAGTTTCTTGATCTTTTTCCTGGATGACCTATCTATTGGTGACAATGGATTATTGAAGTCTTTCTCTCTTCCCCTACTTTGGTCTATTTAAGGTTTAAAAAATTTTTTTTTATTATTTATTTATTCACGTGTGTGTACTATTTGGGTCATTTCTTCTCTCTAAGGTTTTAAGTCCATAAAAATTTACTTAATGTAGTTGAGTGCCCCAGTGTTTAGCACATATGTGCTAAGATTTTTTATTTTATTTTTAATTTTATTTTATATTAACATGAGGTGAACTTCTTTCTTTCTTCTGACTGATTTTAGTCTGAAGTCTACTTTGTCAGATGTAAGTATAGTTTCTCCTGCATATTTCTTTTAGTCCATTTGCTTAGGGGTCCTTTTTCCATGCTTTTACTCTAAACTAGCCCTCCCAGGTCTCATTTTGCCTTCTTCCATGGGACCTCTGTGGACTACCATTGGGTGCCAGTAGATCTTATGTGGTGGGTGCCTCTTCTTCACTGACTTTTGCAGCCAACACCAGGGAGCATGCAGGATCCATGGAGTCAAGCCTGGTTCAAGGACGGTCATGTGAACTCACAGCAATGTTGAGAGGATTCCAGAGAAGTTCACAGCAGGCTCTAGAGAGGGTCTTTGGTCAACAGCCTATGACATGTGTGGCTCCATTTCTGCTTGCTGGATCCTAGCAGCTATCCTCAGCAGTTTCATGTTGGGCACCTTTTTTGTTTGGTCACTGGTCATCTCCAAGTAGCTCTTCCTATCTGTATTCTTTATCCATGCAAAATCTGTAAGAGCTTTTATTTTCAGCTCATTGATTACACACTGCTGAGAACAAGGAAGTACCTGAAATTGCATTTTTCAAGTTCAAAATAGATTTCTTTATCCAAAGTGTGGATTATAAAATATAGTCAAGAAAACTTTGACAGATAAAGGAAGTACTAATCAGAAGTGTCCTGATGGATATAATAAAAGAGTCCAGATATATAAAATTCTGTCATAAACATTTTCTCTTTTCTGATGGTCATACACATCACCAGGAACCAAAAAACTGTACAATAATTTCAGAATTTCTTCGTCTGAGGTTTTCAGAACAAAAAGATCTTCAGACTCTCATATACAGATTGTTGTTCCTGTCCATGTCCCTGATTGCTGTGCTTGGGAACCTGCACATCATCCAGGCCATGATCTCAGACTCCCACCTGCACATGCCCAAACTGTCCTTTTTGGACATCAGATTCAATTCTACCTCCATCCCAAAGATGCTGGTGAACATCCAGACACACATCAACCTATCACCTATGCAGTTTGCATCACCCAAATTTATTTTTTGGATTATTTGCAATGTTGGACAACTTCCTCCTGGCTGTGTTGGCCTACAATAGATATGTGACCACCTCTGTCACTCCCTATATTTCATGGTCATCATGAACAGCCTGCTCTGTGGGTTGTTGGTGGTGTCCTAGGTCATAAGCGCAATTAAAGTACAATTTTTTGATCTGATCTGGGTGTCTTTCTCTCCATTGATTTATATTGTTGAGTTGCTCTTTCTTGATTTCAACTTCTTCATAAAATTTATGTAACTCAGCTTATAAAAATTCTTCTTCCTCTGATGAAGGACACTTCATCAATCATATGCTTCCTCTTACTTAAAGCCATGGTTTGGACTGGGTTCATTTGTTTGAGTCTGTACTCCTTGCTATATGTCAAGATTAGGAGTAATGTGGTGCAAGGACAACCTGGGCAAGATGGTTCTCAATATCCAGTTACGCCAAAGGGTGCATGCAGTGACACATGCTTCTCATCCCAGCTGTGTTAGAATCACCAATGGAAGGACGGCGGCCAGGTTGGCTGAGTTATGAACTGAGACTGTGTCTACTAAGTAACCAGCACAAAAGGTATTTGTGCAGCGGTTCACTGGGGCGCACCTACCTAACATAGTGAAGACCCTGCGTTTAAGTCCCATTGCTGCCAATAAACAATCATGGGTTGAAAATATCAGAAATACCATTTCTCTTATGGGCAAAACAGATGTCTTAACAACAGTTTCTTCTGAAATATCTGACATCATACTGAATTATTTTCTTTTTTTCGTTCTCCAGTTCATGGTCATCAGTTGCACTCCACCTATGGGGAAAAACACATTTGGCTCCTAAGACAGTTTATGTAACTTTACGTGAGAGGAAATTCTGATAGCACAATTTTTTGCTATGAGTTCTCCATTCATTCATGTTGATTTTGACTATAATTCTGATGTCAGTCTCCCCAGTACCTAGGTTTATAGGAAGGAGCTACCAGTGCTATGATCTCCATTGACTTTTTTGGTTTTTTTGAGTGCACTGGGATTTGAACTCAGGTCCTCATGATTGCTAGGCATGTGCTCTTACCTCTTGAGTAACCCCAATAGCCCTTTTAGGTGATGGGTTTTTTCGAGATAGAGTCTCAAGAAATTTTTGCTACCACAGGGACCTGAGTTCTTCCTGATTTTCTGGTGACTATAAAGTGTGATTGTTTTGGTGACTCAGGCTGAGATTTGTCAAATCACCTACTATTAACAAGTCATTTTGAAGATATTTGTGATGATGCAAAAAAAGGACATTTGGACAGTGTATGGAGAAGTATCTGAGTTTACAAATGGGGAAAAGGGAAGAATGTTGCTTCTGTGCTCCTTTGCTAGTGTGAAAATGAGTGGAAGTGTGGTTTAATTGCAGCTGTTTATGAGGGTTGCAACATTAAGAATATATCATTGCTCTACTTTCACTTTGTGCTGAAGTAGTTGGTTAGACAGAGTATAATTTGTGCAAATGAAAACAAGTCTTGGAGTCTCAGGCTTAGAGAAAGACACCGTTATATTTTTCTTGATGTGGCAAAAGTTGGTGTATTTGGAAGGTGATGTGGGTGTGTAGTATAAATTAAAAGACTGGGTCCTTGTGTCAGTTTCTAGTGCAGTGATTATGAAATCCTTGAAATTTCTGAGGCAATCGGAGTGTATTTGGTTGTTTTCCTAAGCCCCAACGAGGCAATGTTTACATTTATTCTAATGATGGGTCTCAGGGTGGTACATTTTATAACTTTAGAAAGGTGACTGTCTTGAACACACATAGCAAAGAAGTGCTATGGCTTCTTGTCTCTTTTACACTGCCCAGAAGTTGGAGGGACTCTGCTAAATCTGGAGGGTGTCAGATTTGAACTGAGGGAAAATTAGTTTGTATTTGAAAGTTGGTTGGTGTTGATAACACCACATATTTTTTATGAGAAATGATGGTAAAGAAAATCTCAGCAAAATTAAAATGTTGGAAGAGATGAGGTTTCTGAAAATAAACATTGCATTTAGTAGAAGTCAGTGTACATTGACAAAGATTAAGATAGCTCAATGAGGTCACAGGATGTTAGATGACTCTGAGTATTTCCCTCACCTCACAGTGATTGCATAACAACACATTCTGGAGTAATAGATCTTTCACAAAGACTCAAGCCAATAAACCATATCCCTTGTGGTGAGGTTGACCCAAAAGATTTTGCTCATTTTAATTATATAACATTGTCCTAGTGTTCTACCTGTTAGTAGAATATTGTTTTAGGGTGGGAGTTGTGGCATTGGTGCTCTATAGAGCATGGATATATTAAATTTACTTGAAGTTTTGGTAATGTATGATTTTAACTAACCTTTTATGGCTGTTTGCTTATTCTGTGATTTGAAAATATGTGGATGTTCTAATTTATTCCACTTGTCCATTTATCATTAAACATTTTTGTATGCTGTTTTTTGTACTATATTCATAACCTTTGGTTTTGAGCAATTTTTTGTACTTGTTCCTTCATGTTACTATCACCCCCATCACACCCTACCTCTCTGCATGTCATTTTTCTTTTACCGTTCCTTTGTTCTGTGTAAATGGTATTCTCCTAGTGTGTGAAGTTCAGGTGGTTATTATAAATTTAACAAAATGATGTGCTTTGCATATAATTGGTGTAGTACAATCTTGCTGAAGTTCTTTATTTACCTATTTATTTACTTCTTTCTTACTCAGGGTCTTGTGATTGCTAAGGCAAGCACTACGCCACTTGGGCCAGTCTCACAGGTGCAGTAATTTATTAATTATATAATCACATTTCTATCCCCCTTTATAATACTAAGTACTTTTAAAATGTATTGGTAGTAATTTCCCAAACATATAAAAAATCCTTTTCTAAGTTAGTTAAATCCTTTTCAAGTAAAGGTATAGTGTTTCATGGACAGGGCATATATTGGTATATTCCCCAGTATTATTCTGCAACTCATAAATAATTTTCTTACTGATTGTTCATATTATAAGGGATGATTAACTAGTCCATAATTCACTTTGAATGACTTTTCGCAAAGGTTGTCTTTGAGTACCCATAGTGAGGAAGAAAGTAAACAATTTTTGTTCATTTTTAATTTCCTTACTCTTTGTTTATGTGATCTAAGTTCTTAGCTTATATGTTTTTGTTTCTCTCTAGAGATGTTTCAACCATTACAAAATTCAGATACCTGTGATACATTCTGTGAATTTAAAAGTGTTCTCTTTCTCTTCTAGTGGCTGCATAATTTCAATCATTTTCATGCTGACTCTACTCTTCTTCCTCTAGTCCATGATTTAGCACCTATAATGATGGTTTCATTGAACTTGTATATCCATCTTCATGCTCTCTGTGTAATCCTTTGAGGATTTTTAAGTCTGCACTGATATTATCTTCTTTGTATGTAATATTTCTACTTTTTTGTTTCATCTACATGTTTGCCAATATCCTTTGTTCTACTTTAAACACTTCCAACAAAAGGCTTTGTGAAATGAGTCCACAACCAGAGACTTTTCAACAGTCAATTTCTCTTTCTGCAAACAGAATTTTGGACCAAGGGCACAAGCTCCTCTGATTGCACATTGTACATCCAGCTAGTTACCCTTCAATGTCAAATAAAGAAGCATGGTGAAGGCAGGGAAAGTAGTATTATTTCACAACTAGGATATGGTGTGGGATGAGGCAGAGTTAAGTACTCAGCTCATGTTCACCATCTCCACGGTACAGACATGAGATATAGATTTAAATAGGCAAAGGCCAGGTGGCAGGGAGCAAAGATATGCACTTAAATAGTTCCAGTCACAGGGGTGGTGTAGTTGTTACAACTCAGCTGTTGTTATGGGTGTGGTTCTGGAATTGTTATCCAGAGGATGGTCCATCCAAAGGAGGGTCTGCTGTTGGGGATTGATTTGGATTCAGGTCATGAAGAAAATACCTGTCTTCTCGATCCTAGATTCCAAGGGGGCTGCAAGGTGACTGCTGAGATGGTTCAGAGGACAGACTGATTCAAAATGGTAGGTGCCATATTTTTTCCTACTTTTAGTTGATTCATGGACTGAGTTTGGAGTCCATTCTTTTTAGGAAAAGTAGTCTGAGGAATGCCTACAATGCTTTTTTAACTGAAGGTCCACATTTCCCTTTTTCTTCATATTTGTTGTCATTTGTTCCTTGTGTGTAAGAGTGGATATGATATTACCTTCATGCAAATTTTTTCCATTTTCCTGGCCTGGCCTAGAACCACAACTTTTCTGAGATCACAGGGTGTTCCCATGGGCAAATGAGCGTGAAATTCTCTCACCATATTGCAGGCTCTATTTCCCTGTTGAAGAAAGGTCCATTCTGAAAAGCAGATTCTGCTTCATGGCAATGCATCACCACTCTGGAGTAGGTAGGCACCAGGGAGGAGGCCTGACTGCAGATGGCTGTTCCCGGATTCAATTATTTGGTTTATGCACTCTCCCTAGTATGGGATTACTTCTGTTACTCAGATCTCAAGGGGTGGGTTCTGGACCACTATCCAGTGAGAAGAGCTTGAGAATTGGCAAATCACAGTCTGGTGTAAGTAGGACTCTCTGATTAATACAGGAAATGCCTACTGATCTGGACATTTTCTGGATCACATTTTGATACTGAGAGCAATTTTATGTAATTTAGTCTCTCTCCTACTGTGACTCGCACATGGTCCCATGTGAGTGACCAGAACTTCACTCACCAAAGAAGCCTGAAATGCTCTTTGTAACTGGCATCCCAGAGCCTAGGAGGATGAGGACGTACGAAATGGCTTGGAAAGGTTGGTACACACCTGGGACTTCCAAGTATATCACTGCATTTGTCGCTGACTCATTGCTTGTGAAGTTTTGCATTTGTTCTTCTTTGCCCTGGGGTGGGACTGTTCAGATGGGCACACTCTGGCATCCTGTCCTCTATGTGCAGGGACATAGACCTTGCCCAGCATCCTGTTAGGACTCCTCTGCACTTGAGCTGTAGGTCCCCCAGCCTTCAGTGGGTGGGAAGTTTTGGCTTCCTCCATTATCCTTGTGGACTTGGTGATTGCCCAGAATTAGCTAAGTGTTTAGAAGCTGATTTCACACTAGTCCACAGCCCAGTTCTTCTTAGGGCTGTGATAAATTCATAACCTGAAGCTGTCTTTGCATTGCCCAACTCAAGGCAAAGACTCTGCATGCGCATGTGGGATTCATGACAAAGGGAACATGTTGGGAAGGTGTTGAAGGTTGAAGTTTTTGCAATATCTGACATAATTGGAGTTGTTTAGATAGTATGTTGAAAGTTTAATTTCAGATGGATACAGGGACTGATCATACTGAAGTAGCAGTAGCAGGGCAGCACCAACTCGGAGGTCTGCAGGGTCTCAAGGGTGAGGTAGAGCAGGGCTGTGCTTTCTAGGGAGGGCATACTGTTGTGGATGACTCTGGGAGAGGAAGGATAACAAAGGAGGAACCATCAGCTCCTTGACCAGATATCCTTTCCCCTGAGCTGAAATTGTCTTCAGGTGACCATAAAAAGGGGCTGTTGTGTGTTGCTTCAGGTTGAGGGTGGTTCATAGAATTCAGGAGTATAAAAAGGAGACAACCTTCAGGAAAGTTTGCTTATTAGCTGTTCTGTTTCTTCTGAACAATTAAAGTAAAGCTTTTGAGGCAGAAATTGGGATTCCCTAAAGTGTGTGCCTTGCCTTGTTTTAGGTTTACTGAGGAAAGACATGTAAGTGTAATGGGAACACAAAAGATGGTGTTATTTAGTCATGAGTGATTTCTAGGATTACTTTGCTTTGGTAATATTTCAACTGATCGTATTTTCTTTTTTTTTGATATTGTGGTTTGAAATCTGTCTCACACTTGCTGTACCCTTGAGTCTCTTTACCAGGAATTGTTTGCATTTTCATTGAGGGGGTTGATCTTGTGAGAATGTACCTCATGACAGTTGAGATTGCTTGTGAAATACAAAGGGAAAACAAGACACATTTGGTTCTTTCTGTTAGAAAACAGGTTTTTATTAACTTGAGGGGTTTTTTGAGTGTATGGAATAGGTGGGATAGCTACAGCTTCTCTTCTACCTAATAATTGGCCTGACTTGTTAGTATGTTCTTTCTTGTTTTTTTTTCTTTTACTTTTTTGCAGAACTGGGGCTTGAATTAAGGGTGTACTCCTTGAGTCACTCTGCTTTCCCTTTTTTGTGAAGGGTTTTTTTTTTTTTTTTCAAGATTTGAACTCACAAACCATTTGCCTGGGTCTGGTTTCAAACCATGATCCTCCTGATCTCTGCCTCCTGAGTAGCTAGGATTGCACGTGGGAGCCACTAGCTCCCAGCTTGTTCTTACATTTTTGGGTGTTAATAGATAGCTTGAGGGAACAGGTGTGAGAAATCCTTGTCCTTAAAGACAAGTGACTGATACCAACATAGTGTGACACCAGGCCTTTTGTCCTATTCTGTTGATATCTCCCTCACCCTGTCGTACACATTGATCCTGTGAAATCAAGAGCTGTGTCCTTAGATGCTGAATTTGGAATATTCTCAGCAGACTCCTGACTCCATTTCCATGTGAAAGAAATAGAGTTGTTCTGTAAAAGCCAGATGCACGTTCTGCTTCAGTACAGTGCATCCCCACACTGTGTACCATAAGGTCCAAGGAGGAGGCCTGGTCTGCTAAGGGCTGTGCCTGGAACCATTTACTGGTCCAGGCTCTATACCATGTGATGTATAACTTCTCCTGTCACACGGATCTAATGTGACAGAGCCTTGGCTCAAGAGCCAATGAAAAGCACTGTATTTGGAGGGAAAGAGCTGTCTACGTTGTCCTAGCAGAATCCAGTGGGAGGAGGTACCACCCCCTAATCTTTGGAAAATGACTATGTAGTTCTTTTCATTTTCTGAATCACTGAGAATTCTACTGATACGGAGACAGTGGGACTGAATCTCACACCCATGTCATATGTGAGCTCCGCTAGTTTGGAGGGCAGAATCCCAATCACCATAGCAGGTAGAAGTAGTGTTTGTTACCAGTGTCACCAGTCTAAGGAGGATGAGGATGTTGGACTGCTTGTAGCAGTGGTGAGAGATCTTGGCCTTCCGAGCATAGCACTGGATTTTGGGGTCTGAGTTTCCTGCAGTTCCTTGTGGCCCTCCATCCTCTCTATTGTGTGTGGATCAGCAAAGATGAGCAGGAATCTGTCATCCTGTCCCATACCTCTGAGTAACCTGACCCATCATGGAGCCATTGATTCTCTCCCCAGATGATGAGATGGTAGGAGGTAGTAGCTTCCCTTCAGCTGAATATGTGATCCTTGGTGTTTATCTGCTCCTTCCAGACTTCTCAGGGTAAAATTGATGGTCCTGAATTATGCAAAAATGTGGAAGCGGGGTCTTGAATGCACAACCTGATCCCAGACATGTGCTACTTAGGGTTCTAGTAAATCCCGAAATTTACAGAGAGCTCACATTGCACAATTCACTGCAATGGTGGTGCACTTACAGTTGAGTTTTGAATGGGAGGGTTGAGGTTAGAAGCTTATCAAAGGTTTATGAACATAATTGATGTTCTCTTTGGCCAGTGTCTAGACAGCATTTTCAAAACTGAAATGAAGATTGAGGCAGAACATGAACTTGGGGTTTCAGTAGCAGGACAACCCCAACAACAGAGTGCTTTGTTGCTTCAAGGTAAGGCAAAGAAGGGCTGTATTTTCAAGAGTAGTAAAGTTGAGCAAAATGTTATAAAATGAACTTGAGAGGTTATAGGTAAAAGAGGGGCCCAAATTATCTCCTGGACCAGAAATCCTTAGCCATGAGACTGTGTTTCCTGTGACAATGAAGGACGGGTTGATACAGTGGTTCGGCCTGAGAGTGAGCCAGAGACTGACCTGAAATAGTAGAGAATTTCATTAGGATAGTGTGTATAGTAGGGTAGTTTTTCGCTGATCAAGTAAGATGATGAATTTGAGGTGGAACATGGAAGGACCTTGTGGGCATGTAATTATAATGGGAACATGACTGAAAGTGGTATGGTAGTCTTAACGACTAGTGTTACCGAGATTACTTTGCTTGGTTAAGTTTTCACTTGTTTGCATTTTCATTCATAGAATTTGTCTAGTCACAACGTAATTTGTGACCATTGTGAAACTTGTGATGGACCTTGTGAAAGTTAGAGACCTTTAAGATCTCCAGATGAAAGAAAAGAGTTATTTACTTGAGGTTATTTATTTATTTTTTTTGGTGACATATTTTAAAAAACTGTGTTTGCTCTTAATCCCAAGTTCTGGCACAGAATTACTAAAACTCTTAGAATATCTTGAACAATCGGAGCAACTTTGGTTGTTATCCTTTGACCCTTTAAGTGGTGTCTGAATATATGCTACTGAGGTGATACATGGTACCATCCCAGATGAATAGGATAACCTCAAACCATGATCCTACTGACTTCAGTCTCCTAAGTAGCTAGGATGATGAGTATGAGGCACCAGAGTCCAACATGTTCTTCCTTCTTTATTGTGTATTATAATCATCTTTTACTTTGGAAACTGAAATAGCCATTTTTGGAAAGTTATTGCTTAGTTCGTTTGAAATAGGAAGAAAACACTAGGAAGAAACCAATAAAATAATACAAGCATCCTACTTATATATGTTTAATTAATACTTGGATTTCTTTTGTTCATTAGATTTTTGTTTGTATCATTTTGTATAGTTTCTTTTTTGCAGTGCTTGTGATAGAACTTATGGCCTTGCTCATGCTGAGAAATTGACCTACCACCATGCTATTCATTTGTTTTCTCAAGGATTCACTTATTTTAATATTTCAGTGTTTTTGGTGCAGTGCAAATACTTCATGAGCTCCCATCTCCAAAAATATCCAAAGCAAAAGACTGGAAGTGTAGCTCAAGTGGTAGAGAATCTGGTTTGCAAAACTAAAGCCATGAATTCAAAACCTTATCGAACCAAAAAATTAAAAAGGAGAAAAATGGAGAACATGATGATAGATAATTCAATATGCTTATTAGCCAGCTGGATGCAAGTGTTACAGAATTCATTAATCAACTACCAATAATAACATTTTTAATGAACACAATGAATTTTTCCAAGAGAGTAATGTAAAAGTATAGAACAGAACAAAGTCTGATTTCCCCTAGAATGTGTGTTCTGTCTGAGAATTATAAGTGTAGAAGCCTAGAGTTTTCTCACTAGGAGATGGTAGTAAAAGGACACATGCATGCACACAAGGTATCTAGATACCCTGGTAGATGTGAATGAAAAGGGTCTGTACACACATTACTACAGTAGATGGATACCACCTTAATCTTTTCCCTACCATTTCTGTCTTGTCCATTAAACAGTGTTCTATTTTTGACCATTTGGAATTAGAAAAATATTAGACCTATTCCATACAGAAGCCTTCTGGGTGCTGTCTTTGAGTGTATTTCACAAATTCAATTACATGTGATGTTGAACTACACTATTTTCTCTTTTGTTACAGTGGTCACTGTTTTGGGGTCTTTTCTATATGTCTTCTACAGAATGTGAAACATAGTTCTGATTACCATTCATAATATGTCCTGTGGGTATGAGAATCAATTTGAGGACTCTGTTAATTAATTAATTAGAATTAAACAAATGTCAGGGCAGATTGCATCATTTGCCAGTCCATTCAAGCATTATACTACTTCTGTTTTTGTATTTTGAACAGTTATTTTACTCAGCTAATTCCTAAATCTAGGACATAGATTTTGATTCATACATGGTGTCTTATGTTGAAAACACATGTTCATTTTTCAATCACGTTCTCATTCATTATTGTATGCAGTACAATAATCCTTATGTTTTGCTTGCATTGCAGATTTTTATCCTCATATTTTGTCTCTTGCCACTCTACTATATTAACATTCCAAATTCATTTTGTTTGTTTCTTGGGTAGTGGGTTTCCAAATGCTCTTCCTTTTGTGTTACTTTTACACAGAGACTTGAACTAAAGATGCATACCAGGATCTCACTGAACATAAGCTAGTCCTCCCTTAGGTTTGCAACTGCTGGGATGACAGGCATGTGACACCATGACTTCAAAAGTATTTCCATTTTTTCTTCCTATTTCCCATGCAAATGGATCATTGTCCATTACATTGGAGAATACAATGTTTGTTTTCAATGAGAAACTGGGTTGCAGATTTTGTGCTCTTAGCCACCATTGTATGATGTGTCTTCTGTCAGGAATCAATTTTCCTCTTACTTTAAAGTCAAGGGAACATTGTTTACTTTTCCTCTGAGGCCTATTTGTTAATCTTTGTTACAGTGTACTTGATAATGTAGCTTGAACATTGTTTATTAGTTATACACAATAGGGCACTGTTATTTCCCTTGCTGTCTCCCCATTCTTCTTCATTATTATTCTTCCTTTATTGACAGTGGTTCTTGCTATGTAGATCACTTCAATTTTTAACTTGTGGTCCTTCTGGTGGAATTACAAAATTGGCCTCCACATGTAGTTCAAGTGATCACTTTCTCATTCCAATTATTTTTAATTGCTGTTTGCAATCTGTGACACTGATTACATTTTTTAAAGTAGTTTTGTTCATGAGTTTTAAGGTATATTTTAGAAATTGTAAAATTGTATACAGCTAGTTGAAATCATTCTATTTCTAGGGACACATGCTACATGTTTTCTTTCTACATTATGTTTTTACTTGCTACAGCAAAAACTGTAAGTATGTGATTGATCCTTCATGAGTCTTATTTAGCTTTAAATTTGGGTTGGTTTGTTCCAAGCCAGGTAGAAGCTTCCAAATGTTCTCTTGATACAGTCACCAAGGAGGTGCTCAATTCCCAAAATAAAATAAAATTGTTTTGGAAAGAGATATTAAATACTATTTGTCATACCAACTTCCTATTCATGACCATGAGTGAGTGCATTGTGGGTTTTCTTACTACAGATTCCGTATGATGAACCTTGCAGAAATGTGCAAATAATCATAAATAGTATATACACAATAGGATATTATTGGAATAAATTGCTTCAGGACACTCTTCCCCCTTTTACACTTTATATTTGGTTTGGTGAGCTTTATCCCTTTAGCAGTTCTGCAATGCCAGTAGACATTAATCTTTTTCTCATTGTAGTAAAAACATTATCCTGCAGTCTGTTTGCACCTGATGTTACTCCAATGGGAACTAAGAAGAATGAATTTGTTAGTCGATTGCTACAGTCTCAGTGTATAACATGTACTTTTAGTGACCATATTCTGCTTTGAATTTAGTAGTTATGTCCAGTGATATGTCAGAATTACTATGAAGTGCTTGTGAGTATAGATGGAGAATGAGAGTGTGATAAAAATAAAATGCATTGAATATGTGGAGACCACATTAGCTTGTGAATTTGTTTCACGGAGATTGTCTATTTCCCCTGCTGTGACACTCACAATTCTGCTAAAAGATGTGTGTTTGACCTCCTAGGTGCCCCTGACCTTTGAGGATGTTGCTTTGAGCTTCACCCTGGAAGAATGGTGCTGTTTGGATCCTTCCCAAAAGAAGCTCTACAGAGAAGTGATGCTAGAAACCTATAGAAACCTGTCCTACGTAGGTAAATACAGTATCATTACCTTAATCAAAGTGTGCACTACTGTTGTGACTCATTGGTGTTGTTGCCTCATGGGGTGTTTAAAAGGGGACAGTAATGGTTCATGCATATTCACGATCATATTATATCATGAAAATAGCCAAAGTCTCAAATTTTTCTTTCATATCGATTAAGTACTAATGATTTCTCTTTGTCTATATCTTACAAACAAAAGAAGAAAATGAAAACATTGAAAAGGACTTCAGGAATCCCAGAAGAAATATGAGGTAATTTGTACTCACAACCAAAATGGTGAACATCAGATGTGGCATTGAAAAGAAGTGTGAAAGCCAAGAAAATAGGACTATAACTTATATTTATAAATCACTTAAATCAGTGAAAATTCAAAATCTGATATGTGCCATTTTTCATAATGTTTTTCTGAAGTAGTCACAAAAGACACTGTCCTGTTGCTCAATATACCAAAATAATCCCACTCTGTGCAGAATCTAATTTAACTATATTGTATCAAATTCCATCATAATGGGATTATTATGTGCATTGGTGTAGACTGGCACATTACTCAACCTTTGTCCTCATGTTCATTCTTTTATTTTACAATCCAACATGCTTTTGATCCAAGGCATCTCAATAAGCTCTTTAAGTGTATTTGAATGTAGTAAAATTCATTCAGTGTTGTTAAACACCTAACATGGAAATAGTATGATGGAAACACATTGTGAGCACCACTGTTTGGTAAATCATTAATAGGATAACAATGGTAATCTTTGTCTGTTTTACAGAAATGAAATGTTAGAGTTACTGCATGAACGCAAACAATGTATTAAGTGTGCAGAATCCTTTCAACAGACTCCAGAGAACATAGTAAACAAGGGTACTCAGCTTAGAACAGCACCATGTAAAAGCAATATATGTGATGCTTATGGGAAAACCTTTACTGATGGCTTGGCTCTTCTAATCCATGAAAGGTTACACAATGTAGTGAAATCTCATGGATGGAAACAAGTTGGAAAAGTCTTCACTCCATCTGGTACCTTTCATATTCATGAAACTTCTCACATTAGTGAGAAACCCTATGGATGTACACAATGTTGGAAAGCCTACACTCCTTCCAGTAACCTTCATATAAATGAAGGAATTCACAGTGGAGAAAAACCTTATGAATGTAAGCAGTTTGAGAAAGTCTTTAGTCAAGCCAATGGCCTTGAAAGATGTGAAAGAATGCAAACTGGAGAAAAACCCTATGGATGTAAGCAATATGGGAAAGCCTACACTGATTCAAGTGCCCTTCGATATCATGAAAGAACTCACACTGGAGAGAAACCACACGAATGTAAGCAATGTGGGAAAGCCTACACATTTTACAGTGCCCTTCGTAGTCATGAAAGAGCTCACACTGGAGAGAAACCCTATGGATGTAAGCAATGTGGGAAAGCCTACACATTTTCCAGTGATCTTCGTGTTCATGATAGAACTCACACTGGAGAGAAACCGTATAAATGTAAGCAGTGTGGGAAATCCTTTTATAAAGTCAGTCACCTTCAAAGACATGAAAGAACTCACACTGGAGAGAAACCTTATGGATGTAAGCAATGTGGGAAAGCCTTCACTGATTCAAGTGCCCTTCGATATCATGAAAGAACTCACACTGGAGAGAAACCCTATGGATGTAAGCAATGTGGTAAAGCCTATACTTTTTCCAGTACCCTGCGCAATCATGAAAGAACTCACACTGGAGAGAAACCCTATAAATGTAAGCAATGTGGTAAAGCCTACATTTTTTCCTTTTCCCTTCGCAGTCATGAAAGAACTCACACTGGAGAGAAACCCTATAAATGTAAGCAATGTGGTAAAGCCTACATTTTTTCCAGTTCCCTTCACAGTCATGAAAGAACTCACACTGGAGAGAAACCCTATGCATGTAACAAATGTGGGAAATTCTTCACTTGTATGAGTAACCTTCGACATCATGAAATAACTCACCGTGGAGAAAAACCATATGAATGTAAGCAATGTGGAAAAGGCTTTACTCATGCCTGTTATTTACGAAACCATGAAAGAAGTCACACTGGAGAGAAACCCTATGCATGTAAGCAATGTGGGAAAGCCTACACTGATTCAAGTGCCCTTCGATATCATGAAAGAACTCACACTGGAGAGAAGCCCTATGAATGTAAGCAATGTGGTAAAGCCTACACTCTTTCCAGTTCCCTTCGTATTCATGAAAGAACTCATACTGGAGAAAAACCCTATGGATGTAAGCAGTGTGGGAAACCCTTCACTAATTCCAGTTCCCTTAAAAAACATGAAATTATTCACTCTGGAGAGAAACCCTATGGATGTAAGCAATGTGGAAAAGCCTATACTGATTCAAGTTCTCACACTGTAGAGAAATCCTATGGATGTAAGTAATGTAGGAAAGTGTACAGTGTTTCTAGTACCCTTTATATTCATGGAAGAACTCACATTGGATAGAAACCCTAAGAATAAGCAATGTGGGAAAGCCTTGCAGTTATCTTTGACATGAGACAGTTCACATTGTAGTAAAATGATGTACATGTGTGTAATTTGGCTAAGTCTTCACACATTCCACTGCTCCTTCAAAACATACAAAAGTAAAATAGAGAATAATTGTATTTGGAAATCAATTAGAAAAGTCATCACTAATTTCCATGACCTGAAACATGAAAGTCCTCACACTAGAGAGAAAATCCATAGGTGAAATATATATAGGAAGTTGGAATGTCTTCATCTTGCTTTAATTGTCTTTGACATGACACAGTTCACCTTGTAGCACAATGCTCTTCATGTGTGTAACATGGTTAAGCATTCACACATTCCACTGCTCCTTCAAAACATACAAAACTATATGATCAAACATGGTATGAAGAGAAAACTTGATTCATGGCTTATGGCTGGCAGGGAAGGAACTCTACCTCCAAGCCTCCAGTCCATTTTCTCCTAGTTATTTCAGAGCAAGGGTCTGTGAACTGTTTGCACAGGCTGACCTCCAACCATGATCCTCCTCTCTTACCCTCTCATGTACTAGAATTATAGGACCCAGCCACTGGCAATTGCCTTATACATTCTTAGAAATATCTCTGATAAGTATGTCTAAATTTTTTCTCAAGAAACACGTTTTGTGCTTCTTATTCTGTTGCCAGCCTACAGAGACAGTCGCATCAATAGACTTGCTTAATTGCTGGAAGGAGTTGGTGCACAGATGCTGTACCATATGAGTCACCCCAGCAATCTTTGTGTGTGTTTTAAGTATTTTTAAGATAAGGTCCCTCAGTATTTTCCCAAGCAAGCTTCAAAACATAATGCTACTGATTGCTCTTCTTCACTATATAAAATAAAGGTGTGAGGTTTTGGTGCCCAGGTCTGGGGATTTCCTTATTTGTCCACTGTATTCAAATGTCTTAAGGCATTTAGTCTACCTATATACTTCATAAAGTGGATTTTGTTACATAATTTACACTGTGTGGCTGGAAGTAGAGAATTGTAAACATACCTGAGAATCAGGACAACTCAGAGTAAACACAGTCAGTTATGCACACAAACCACCCCTTCCCTTTGGTAGGCAAACAGTAGAAATAAGACAAAAAGGTAACTTAATTAAAATGTTTTCAGAAACTGCCAAGAGGATTATGGAGAAATGACAGCAAACAACACATGTGGTTACACTTCTACACAACATAAAGGGCATATAAGTTCAGTATTCCACACTGAATGACACATTGAAGTTCAAATCCTAAGAGCTCAGTACACCTGGGCACCTCCCCTTATTTTATCATTGGGGATCACAGAAGTTGAATTTCTCAAGTACCTCTCTGGAAGAGCTGCTGTAAAACATGGGCCCACTTTGTAGGAAGATAAGTTTTGCTAAAACTCCAAAAGTCAAGAATCCTGCAAATTTCAAATTTGGAAACTAGTTTGCAAAATTTTAAAACAATTTGAAAATAATGCACATGAATTTTTATACCATGGAGAAGTCTCTTACATTATCTTAGTAATACTTTAGGGCATCAACTCTATCTTGTTATATACACACTTGCCATGTACATGTGAAACTTAATATACACATTAAAAACCAAAATCTCAAACTCAATTCAAGTTTATAGCACGATTAACAGGTCTACAAGGATTGACAAGTTCAAACAGTGTAAAAAGTGTTCAGAGACAGTAAAGAAATAATATTCATTGTTAAAGCATATATAATAGTTCTTTCTAAGTGTAAAATATGGCCAGTTCATGGTTCCAATGAGAATATCAAGGTAGCAATTTACTGCCATTAGTCCCAAGTTTTACAAATGAAATAAAATATACCTGACTTTTAGTTGAACTTGAATCTTTTCAGATAATTTGAAGTAATATTTAGCTCTGTAAATCATGTCCATTCTGAAAGTGCATCCCTTGCTGCTTTCCTTTTTTCTACAGCAAATACAAAACCTTAATTTTCATTTCTAAAAATCGACAAGCCTTCAGACCCACTTTCTTGAGGCCACCTTACCTTAACATTCATTCCTATAAAACAACTGAGAACAGTAACAGCAAATGTGTGTGGAGGATGGGAAATACATCTTCATTCCACTCAGAGTAAGGGGAGAGAAGGTGCAATGTACTTTGATGCCCCTTCCCCACACAAACTTCATAAATAAGCAGAGAGGATCCAATGAATACCATGCATCACCTCACAGATGGGGAGTCTCAGGTTTTGCTGTGGATCTTTCCAGAGGGGACTGTGGGCCAGGACAAAGTCACCTCAGGTACAACACAGGATAGTACAATTTTCCTGACTCCCCTGCAGGATTCATGGCACCAAGCACAGAGTGGCATCAAAAGTTCGATCAGTTCACACATGGATAAGATCACTGTGGCCCTCTTTGCCCAACTAAAGAGCCTGGCCATGTATGTCTACTATGCCTGTGTAAGATCACTTCTTTAAAACCTCTTAGCTTTAGTAAGTTCTTGAGGTCTGGCTCAAGTGACACTATCTGGATTGTGAAGCTTTCCCCTCTTGTCTCCAAATACCCTTTTGTATTCTTTCTACTTCTTGATTTCTTGACTTTGTAACTTGTATTTTTAAAATGACTTTAATAAGAATTTTAAATGTAAATAAATTTTTTTCCAATTACCCTTATATTTTTACTATGCAAAGGTAATTTTAAACTGTTTATCTGTAAGTTACTTTAAGACACTTTTGTTAATATATCTAGCTATAAAAGAATTGAATGTGAATTAAACTCATGACAAAGTGAAACAAATTGTTACTGTCCACAAAAAATGCCTGTGTTTTACTTAGACCTTATTGACATCAAACTTTGAAAAACTATTTTTCTTTAAAGTAGCAGTAGAAGAAGTAGTGGAGAGGAGAAAAGAAACCTTTCATTTCTCGGCATTAACCCAATAATAAGAATCATCCTAAAGATGTACAAACATGCATATGCAGGAGTTTTAAATTAGCCATTTCATAAGTATCAATTTAAGCATGCACAGAGTTCAAGAACATGTAAAAATTAACTAGGTGTCTCCAAGTAAAATGATCACTTATTTAAAAATTTTTAGGAGCAGCTGGAGATGTTTCCCATGTTATTCTTTTAGGACTCATTTTGGGCAGCTTGATATCTCCAATAAGACTTGCCATTGCTATCAGATTTTGTATCTAATAAGTTAATCACAAGAGAAAATTCTCCCAATGACACGCTATGCAATTACATTAATTCTGAGTGCAATCAAAGATATTGAAGGCTTTGCTTGATGGTTTTTGGATTTTTTAATAATATTAATGATAGTTTACCTTGGGCTACAGTACATTTGTTATTAGGGTGTAGAGCTGGTATCCCATATACTTGCCTGGACAAAGATAGAATGTGCAGATCCACCATTTTAGTTCACAGTAACATTTTTTTAATTAGAATTTGTATGACAGGCTGAAAAAAGGGCGGACTCATCTCCATTGAAACTGGTGATAGAAATCATGGGAAATGTACAGTGAATTAACTCCTGAAAAGTTAATTTTAGGTAAGGGGCCTTGTGAAAAAAAATCCAAGTGCCTTATTGCATCCATAGCAGAACTCAGGAAGGTTGTACTTTTGCCTTTTAGCTAATGCCATAACCTAGGAAACATTTTAATTTAAACACATGGTGTAATTTATACATAGAATTGAAATTCTGTCATCTTTGGTCTTTCCGGAATGTGTGCAAGTGAGGCTGAGGGTGTGGGTCCATAATTCCGACCATATTGCACCTTGGCCAAGAGAATGAATGAGCCAGCCCAGGGTCACCACCTGCAGCAACCTTGATATGGCCTGTTCCCTCAACTGGTCCTGACATATCTGCAATGAAAAACAGCCTTTCTCAAAAGCAAGTATTAAAGGAGGAAAACCGTTAAAGTGTTCAGGTACATTTAGAGGCTTAGTGTTAGGTGGAAGATCAGGAGGTCTGGACGGAAATGTAGCCATCGCCCAGATGTCATTTAGATTTGCAATTGATTTTATGTCTGCAGTTCTGGGACCATGTGTCACTGAGGAGGCTGAGAGAACTGACAGTGTGACTTGACCCGGATATTTCTTTCCATTTCTTTTTTGTCCATTTCATTCTCTGTTGTCCTCCCCCAGATGGCCAGTGTGGGAGAGGAGACATGCAGGCTATAGAGTACAAGGGGTAAAAGGAAATGTCCATCATGGCTGAGAAAGATTTAGAGAGAAGAGTTTCAAAGTTAAACATTATTTATATCTTGTGAGATGAAGGAAGACGAAAGGATGACGTAAAGATGAGCTGAAGTCAGAAGGTGGTTTTCAATGGGAGACAAAGAAACATGGGGATGGGGAGTATTTTTGTTTAGGAGGAGAACAGAAAAAGGGAGAGACTGGAGCAGAGATGAACAGAGAGCTGGATATCAGGAAACCTCCAATCATGTCCCATAGCATTGGTAGTTTTTGAGATTGTGATGAATTTGGAAATAGAAAGGGGCCTGTTTGGGCCAATGGTCATTTTTTTAATATTGGGGTGAAATCATTTTACAGTATAAAATTAGCCATTTTGGTTTAATGGTCTTTATGTACTCGAGTCTGAAGGTTTTGAGGAGCCATGACTATGGAATGCCCTAAGGGCCTTGGATGATTTTGACCCATTTTGTGGATTGGAAACAGAGGGTCAGAATTTGAGACAAGTCCAGTGGGTTCAATGGTCCAATATTGAGACAATTTTATGGGACTTAAGGTCCAAAACCAGGACAAATCCTGTGTGACCTAGACTGAGATCGAGAAGTGGTGGGTAATCCCTGCAGTGGCCCTAATTGCTTGGATAGACATATCAGAGGGCAGGAGCTACCCCAGTGCCATCTGCTAGCCTATCTGTGCAGGTATGTGGATATTTTCTAGGTGTCCACAGAAAGCAGCACGTGAAACCACACAGTTGGTGGAAAAAGGAAGTCTCTCCCCCAGCAGAGCTTTGTTGAGGTCCACAGTCAGATATCCACGGTAGAACTGTAGAGACACACAAATGGAAGGGCAAATTTGCCAGAATTTGAAGGTCAGTGTTGGGCAGAAGTCCAGTGATAATGGCGTCTGGAAAGAAAGGAAAGGGTGGGAGAGAAGTGAAAAAAAATGGTGGGAGAGGCAGTGGGAATGAGGGAGGAAGATTTCAGTTTCTGCAGACCATCTGAGAGTGAACCTGGGAAAACATGCTGTTGTTCACTGCTTTCCAAATTGTGGGAACGCAGAGCTGGGAGTTGAACCTGCACAATTACCTCAAGGTTTGACATGATATGTTGGAAATGAAAGAACAGCATGGAGTGAATAGGTGGAAAATGCCTCAGATGCCAGCACAGGGTTTATTGTGGAGAAATGGCCTTGTGGAGAGTGACCTCACCAAAAGAGCTGAAGCCCACTTCAGCTTACAGCCCAGGGGTAAAGAAGGTAGGTAGAGAAGACCCAAGGTCACTGGATGGGATAATCCTCAATAACCCTCTGATCCCCCTGAGAAAATGGCTTACAGGTGCGTTATGGTTTAAGGTGGATGTCTATTTTTCTTTATGCCTAGGTGGAGAGTTTTTAATAAGTAAACATTAAGGGGGAAGTAAGTTACCCATACATTTTAAAAACACATGATATCCTGTGTAGACAGAAATCTATAATGGAATTAATTACTGCAATAAAGAACTGCAGCTGGCTAAGTGTCTCAAATGGTATGTTTGCGTAGTAATCACAAGGTTTTGTGTTCACCGCACTGTACCAACAAAAGTAAATGAATAAATAAATAAATAAATAATGGATTTCAGTATGACTGTAGAAACATAACTTAATACACAATGTATCATTTTCTAAATTTATTGTTGGAATTCAAGACCCTCTGGTGTTTAAAACAGACACATCAGTAACTAAATTCTGAAAATGCAATTTCTTTTGATCTAAGAATGCAAGTATGAACACATACTTGTGTTCACTCCATCTGACGAGAGATGTGTGCACAAAATGTCCAACAGTGCATCCTCCTTACAACTCTGGCACAGTTGTACCTGCTGCTTACCTGGGATTTGTCCAGGTCACAAGTTCACAGTCTTTCTCAATTGGCCAAAAGGTTTGAGGATAGTTTAGGGTACACAGCTTGGTGAGCAATCTTTGTGGCCAATGAAACTGTACAAGAATCTGGAAGATGAAAAAGGAACCCTTTAAACAGTGCAAGTCACGTAAGATGGTGACCTGAGGAATTTTAAGTAATTTAAGAGGGTGACATATGATTTGATAGACAAGATCATTTTTCTTACAATTTTCCCCATCTTTTAATTCAAATTCATTTAGGAGCTCTCACATTCCTGTGTTAATGATAGTAACAAATTATTCAAGTAGGGTAGTGGTGATTTTTTGGTGAGGGCTGTCTCAATTACCACTGCATTAGTCCTCAGCCACAAGGCATTTTGCAACATCCTGCTAAAATTAAAATTCTGGACACTATGACTAAGGAGTTTAAGAAGGAGGTCATCCAACGCTTTCATCTCCCAAATCATTTTTCCATTAAGTCAGTGAACGGACCATTTATACCTGAAATTTCGGCTGTTGTTTCAATATGGTTGTTAATCCCTGTTCAAGTGGGGACTGTATTATTTTATATATATGTGCCACACGAAACTCCAATCATTATGCAAACTCCTCCCTTCTCAGCCAATATCAAGTCTAATGCTAGCCAGTTCTCCTAAGCCATCTGACTAGTCGGTCCCAATTGTTCTGCTATTTTGATAGTATCCCTGATACAGATAACAAACATTTGTTGGTTATAATGTAGCAGGGAATTGGACCAGAAGAGAAAGAGAGAAGCTATGTTATGATAATGATGCAGGGGGTAGGGATGACAAAGCAGAGATAACACTTAAAGTACTCAAATGTGAAGAAGGTCACATAGCACTGGGGAAAACAAGTAGCCAATAAAGTCACATGCAACTATCTATGGTTTAGTTTTGCTTTTTGCTTCTGTTACTGGCTTGCCAAGATGTATAAGGTGAGACCTCTTTGTTCTCAGAGCTCAGCCTTTGGACACGAGTCCACTGGGTCTGCTAGCACAATAAAATGTTCCTACTAAATGGACTCAGTGTCCCATATCATAGCTTGTGATTCCCGCAATAATAAATATAATTAATCCAATCAACATTTTATTTATGGTGGAACACCGAAAGAGTTCTGATTCAAATCTTGCTGAAATTTAATTTCTGGGACACATCCCCAGAGTTCTGAGTAACACAAGAAGTGATCACCTTTCTAGTAGAGTTCCAGGACCAAATACCAGTCTCCAGCCAAAACCCTTAGCAGGCCAGGCCTCCTAACTGGTACCTACCCAGCTCAGCTTGGGGATTCATTATTGTTAAGCAGAACCTCCTCTTCAGAGTGGAACCTGCTTCTTGTGATAGGTAATGGGTTCCAGAATATTCCTAGAAAATTCCACACTCACATTCCCAAGGGGACAGCCTATGATTTCAGAGAAGTGTTCAGAGGCCAGGCCAGGTGAGGACTCACTGTGCCAGGAGGAAAGGCCTGCCTTTGGTATCTTGTGTGGAGAAATCTTGAGTTTTGCCAATCTTCATGTCTATCTTATCCCAATTTCTTTCTCCTCCTCTTTTCTCCTCTTGAAGAATACAAATCCTCTTTACCTTGAGATTCCTGTATACTTTACTTTTGTTGTTTCCCGATAGAGTAATATTCTTGATGTCATGTTCTAAATTTATTAGCTTTTCATCATAGGATGATGTTTAGAAACAATATTTGCACCATTATCAGTTAAGTAAGGAAGCACAAAAATTGCCCCTTCCACTCCAAAGCCAGCACATGCGCTTGTGGATCTGAATTTCCAATGAGTCTGGCAATGGGTGGGATACATGGAAATTCAGGGATTTACTGGCAGTGCTGAGAAGCATTGGCTTGAAAGGACAGGACACAGAGTTAAA